CCCAGTGTTGCCAAAATTTATCTGACATCCATTTGACCATGCTCGGCGGGGGCAGCTCATAATTCTTAGCCAGAGTCATCAAATGCCCTGGGTGTGTGTGATACCTGATCGGACAAGAAAGAAAGGCGCCGATCTTGTCCGTTTGGGCTCGTGGGGAGGGGGAAGAGATCAAGGATGACGGCGACGACGAGGCGGTGGATGACGAGGATGACGAGGATGACAGCGTGGACGACGGGAAGAACAGCGAGGGGAGCAGGAGGACAACGAGTAGGAAAACAGGCACGAGGACGAGGAGCAAGAGATGAAAGAGGACACGTACGAGGAGTAACGAAGCTGGACCCCCCCGCCCAAAACATATGATGAATATCGTGAGCCGTCAAGTCTTTGTGAAGCCCTGTGTGGGAGCATTTTGGAAGCTCTTGGAGGCTTGTGTGACCCTCTTAGACTGTCCGGGCGCGTCTCGAGGGTCTGGGCTCTCTTGGGGTGTCTTGGTGCTCTCTGCGACTGTCTTGGCGTTCTGCTTGGCAATCCCGGATCCTCTTCGGGCGCCCTTGGGGCCTCTGGGCGGCTCTTGGGGGCCTCGTGGGGGTCTCTTGGGGCGCTTTGGGGATCCCCTGGGGGACCTCTGAGCGGCTCTTCAGGACCTCTTCGGGATCGCTTCGGGCCCTTTGGGGGTCCCCTTGTGCGCACAGATGACACGACACAGCTCACACAACATAGCTTACACTGCATAGCTTGCATCTGAACAATAAAGTTCACACTAAGTATAGCTTGCACCATAGAGCTTGCGACACTAAGCGTACACCACATAGCCTGCGCCATATTGATTGCATCGCCTAACTTACATCAGGCAGCTTGCACCACACAGCTTACACTTCCACGGTGCAAAAACTTGCTGTTTGGGGCCAACGCTAACCACCATGATTTGTGTTTAGTCCATTGGATGGCTTATTTGAGACCGCCTGACCCTACAGAACCCTGGCAAGACAGCCTTCTTGCATTAGAAGTGCGGGACTGCACCCAACTTCATTATCTCAATGATTACACCTTGGCGACTAAGCCGGTCCCGCCAGAACTCCAATCGTCCAAGAATGCGGTGCTAACATATCATGGTGGTTGTTCATACACCCGACCACCTGGAAACGTATTCAGATCGTACTGTGGTCACCTTGATATCATCTCTGGACCACCTCGAAATCATCTCCAGATCACCGCGGGGTCGCGGGGTGGCGGTCGCGGCGTCTCGATACCACTTTGCAGCCACAGTGGGGTCGCCTGGCAGCCATCATGCGGTCATCGGAGGAAAGGGACCACCCTTTATAAAAACAGTGGAACACCTTCGTGTTGCCTAGAAGCCATCTAGATGCCTTGTCGGTGTTACGTAGCGATATGGGTCGTCTTCGGGTCGTCTTGACGTCATCGCGGGGTCGTCTTGAGACCTCTTTGGACCCAAGTGGAGATAAGAAGATCATGTTCGAACACTTAATCGCTTCGGGGTCGCCTGGAGGTATCCTGCGTACCACGGAAACCTTCGTTGGGGCCATGTAGGCTGAAACGCAAGCTAAGAAAATAAAAAATCAGTATGAAGCAAAATCGGCATACAAACCATGGGCAACTGAACATGACATAACATGGCAAACATAAACAGCATGACCCAAAACAACTGGGACGGACAACTGTAAGCATTATGAACGCAGGTTGAGCCCAGACTGGTAACAGACATAATGCAAGCTGAATGCACGGTACATATCGTCTAAAGGTAAGCCCCACGACAAGTTAAATGAATTCGAAGAGCAAGCACGAAGTAAGCCAACAGAAAGATGGTTACCATTATGCCCCTCACTCAGCTCCGTTTCAGTCTCATCTCCGTGTTCCTCCCAAGGGAAAAAACCCTCCACCTTCCCCATTCCCTCTCCGTGCGCCTTCTGTCCTTCACAACCTCCTCCCTCCTCCCTCCTCTCCCCCTCAGAACCCCCACCGGGTGTACAAAACACGTCCGGCAGCCGCCTCGAAGCCTCGTGGGAACCGACCATGGTCCCCTGGCAGCCTCCAGAAGCCCCAGGGAGACCGTCCAGAGCGGTGCCGCTCAAAGCCATCAGGAGCCACCTGAGGCGGCGGCGCGCGCCGAAGACTCGGCCCACGAGGGGCCTCGTCGACGGCGCGGCGCGCAGGGGACTCCCTCATAAAACAGGGCTAGGATCGGGATAAATCGCGCCAGAGCGTTCCGGAGCGCTCTCAGAGCGTTCCGGAACGCTCTGAGAGCGGCCGCGGCGCCCAAGACATCCTCCAAACCCGCCGATTCTCAGAGATTTCGAGTTATCCCGATCCGATTTTGTCCCGATCTTCGCGTCGTCCGATCACGCGCCGAGGCGGCACCGGCCGGCCCACCCGCCTCGAAGATGATCCCCGCCTCCACCGCGAGACCTTGGGGCCGGGGGCACGGCGCGGCACGGCGTGCGAGCGTGCTGCGGCATGCAAGAGGAGGAGGAGGAGGAGGAGGAGGAGGAGGAGGAGGAGGAGGAGGAGGAGGAGGAGGAGGAGGAGGAGGAGGCGGAGAAGGAGGAGGAGGAGGAGGGGGAGGAGGAGGAGGAGGGAAGGAGGGGAGGAGGAGGAGGAGGAGGAGGGGGAGGAGGAGGAGGAGGAGGAAGAGGAGGAGGAGGAGGAGGAGGAGGCGACCAAGTATATTGCATTATCTGCCACAGAAATCTGGCGTCACACCCAGCTTTTTCCTTGCCACACTGAGCTGCAGACCCGGCGGCCGAAACTCCGGCAGCGGGTTGCTGGGGCTCCGGAGGCCCGAGCGCAGTTGTTGGCCACTGAAAGGCTGGACGTTATGCGGCCTGATGTGCAAACTCTTGTTCCGAAATCGAGGGCGATGGACCCACGCCAAACTCGGGGATGGACAGAACCTCCTTTAGTAAAACGTGGTTTAGTGAAAACGACCTGAGGCCCAAACCTGGCGGGCGCAAGCCTGGAAAATAACGGCCGCGGCGCCATCTCGAGAACCGAAAACGGACAATTCACTAATCGACGTGTCACTGTTGGGGGTTTTGTCCGCCCCCGACAAACGGTGGGCGAACAGTACCTTTCCGATTTCACCATGCACGTGGAGCTGTTTCGCCGCGCTCGTGCTGAGGATATCAGAAACGAGTTTTTGGAATCTCTCGTTCAGCCGCTTGTTCAACAGGTGCCTCTTAATCCCGACGTGCGTCCCCCACCTCCCCCCGATCTTGCCCACGTTCCAGTTAACCAAGTCCTACTTAGATGCGGCACTCAAACACCTGATGGGACGCTATGTTGAGAGTTCGATCACGATGCTGCAGGCATGGCTAGGCATGAGGCGTGCAATAAGAAACCAGGGCACCAACGGAAATATCCAGGTACAGTCACCGTCATCAGGTAGCAATGCCAGTGGTACAAGTACACATACTCGAGCAAACGATCAGTTCGTGATTCGTGACCATGTTATTGCATCGTTCGCGCGAAAGCGTTGTGAGGGGAATGGGGGCGCATACCACCATGTTGTCATCAATTATGATTATGCTTGTCTTCGTTGCAAAACTCGTAGCCAGGAAAGCACCAGTTTGGAGTCATACAATACGCACGTGCAGACACATTCCCAGGATTCCCCTTCTCATGGATATGATACGGCAGGGTTGTCCTCGCGCGAAGTCGCAGCACAGTGGCCCGTCCATTTCGGAAGAGAACGACATCATGAAGCTGCAGCGCCAGATCCCCACTCTTGTCACGCAGCTGGCTCTGAAGTTCGACCCTGACGTGCGGGACCCGCGGCTTACACGGCACAGCTCGCAGAAAGCACAACGCATGTCCGGCTGGCCCAGCAGGGCCACTCGACGCCCGCGGGGAGAGAACGGACCCGCGGGGCCCCTTAAAAAGGCGAGAGGGCGAACGCGTCGTGTTTTTTTTGTCAACTCACCAGGGTTGCTTGGCTTGTTTGGGCTTCTGTCGAGGGTGTTGGCGAGGGCTCCACCTCCTCCTCCTCCTCCTCCTCCTCCTCCTCCTCCTCCTCCTCCTCCCCTCCTCCTCCGCCTCCGCCTCCGCCTGCCCTCTCCGCTCTGCTCCTCCTCTTCCTCCTCTTCCTCCTCCTCCTCCTCCCTCCTCCTCCTGCTCTTCCTCCTCCTCCTGCCCTCCTCCTCCTCTGCCCCTCCTCCTCCTCCTCCCCTCCTCCTCCTCTCCTCATCCTCCTCTTCTCCCTCCTCCTCGCCTCCTCCTCCTCCTCTCCTCCTCCTCCTCCTTTGGCGTGCGCCGAGCCCCTCCGAGGCCTCAAGGGCCCCTGCACCGAGGAGGGGGGGGGAAGGGGCCCCGGCCGCGGGAGGCTGCCGCCTGCCCGCAGGGGGGTGCCTGGCACCCTGGTCGGCAGCGCCTCGGCGGCAGGGACCGAGGGGAGGGGACGAGGAGGGGATGGGCGAGGCGCAAGCCACCGAGGAGGAGGAGGGGGAGGAGGAGGGAGGGGGAGGAGGAGGAGCGGAGGAGGAGGAGGAGGAGGAGGAGGAGGGATGAGGAGGGGAGGAGGAAGTGAATGATCATGAGGAGGATGAGGGAGAGGAGGAGAGAAGGAGGAGGAGGAAGAGGATGAGGATGAGGAGGAGGGGAGGATGAGGAGATCATGAGGAGGTAGGGGAGAGGAGGCGAGGACCACGGACGAGGGGCGCCCAGACCGGGCGCCCAGACCAGGGCGAACACGTCTTGTGGAGGCCAGCGGCGGCAGCGTGCGCCGTCGCTCGCACGCCGGCGGCGCGAGCCGCGGGGCTCCACGCCATCCGGCCCGCCGCGGCGGGAGCGCCCGCCGCCCCCCGCGGGCGCGCGGGGAGCGGGCCCCAAAACGGGCGGGCTGGGCGGGCCTTCGCGAAGAGAGGAGCTCGCACGCCACGCGAGCACAAGCAGCTTCAGCAGGTAAAGCGACGCGAAGGTCGGGGCAGAATCGGATCGGGAGAGCTCGAAATCTCTGAGAATCGGCGGGTTTGGAGGATGTCTTGGGCGCCGCGGCCGCTCTCAGAGCGTTCCGGAACGCTCTGAGAGCGCTCCAGAACGCTCTGGCGCGATTTATCCCGATTCTAGCCCTGTTTTAGCATGCCCCTCCCTCCTTCCATGCCGTCTCACCCTTGAAACCCTACGCGCTAGAGTGGCGCAACGAACTGCCGAGTTTGAAACGGCACAGCTCACGGAAAGCACAAAACGTGTCGAGTTGGCCCAGCAGGGCCACTCGACGCCCACGGGGAGAACGGACTTGCGGGACCCCCAAAGGAGGGGGGGCGCACGGACTTGGCGCGAGACCCGCGAGAAGGTGGCTCCGGCGCGCCAGGAAAGGCTCCGGGACGACGACGAGGACGGGGGAGACGGGCGAGAGGGAAGAGCGGAGGAGAAAGGAACGGGAGGGGGGGCAGGATAGGGGGGAGGCCTCGAACCTGGGGGCCGCGGGATACCTCAGAAGGACTCGCAAAATCACAGGGTGCTTTACTTCCACATCCTTCCACAAGCCTGCCGCTGCCGACCGCCAGGGGAAGGCGCCAAGGGAAGCAGGCACCGCCCAGCCGCCGACTTACCACTGGCATCCACCAGGAAAGACTGGCGGAGGGGGAGCGAAAGACTGGTGGCGGCGGGATCCAAAGCAGCCCCAGTGATGGAAGCTGCGAGGAGTGTGAGGCCAACTGGCGGTCCTCACTGGCGAGGCGTAATGACAGTCCTCGCAGAGGCGAGGGGGGAGAGGGAGGGGTGGGGCGTGGCGACGATGCCGTGCGCGATGCGTCCCGGTCCTGAGGCGGGAATTCCTGAAAAAGGAGGGGGAGGAACACACAAAAACGGCATAAACAGTTTCGACTCAACTCCGAACTGAGTAGGCCCTGCGCACTCGGTACCCCACGGAGGGGGGATAATGAGTGCGCTCGCTCACGCTCAGGTACCAGTTTGTTGCGCCCCAAGGACGGATGAAACGTGCTCCCCCCTGGGGCAAACCAAGGGCCCCGGGGGACAGCCGCGCCCCGCGAGAGCATGCCAGAGTAGGAGGACAGCGGCGACGCCGACGTCGACGAGCGAGGGGCGGCCAGGGCACTCCCGCCCCCCACAGGAGCGCGAGCCTGACGGCCAGGCCCAGGAGCAGAGCGGCCCCTTCCCTCGAAATGGGCAGCAGCAGAAGCGGGGAGGGAGCAGAGGTGGATGGCCTCGGAATTAGCCCACAGCCCAGAGGCAGAGACAGGAGTCGGTGGTTCAGGGGATGGGGTCCTCATGGGGAGAGGATCCAAAGGACGACGTGCCTCAAGCAGTGTACGTCCACCCTTGGGTCCCTTCCTATCCTCAGGGCCCCTTTCCTCAGGACCCCATCTTTGAACCACCGAAGGAGGAGGAGGAGGAGGAGGAGGAGGAGGAGGAGGAGGAGGAGGAGGACGAGAAGGTGGGGCGACGCCGACGCCCACCGACGCCCACGGGGCGGGGAAGGGGGCGCGGCGGGGCCCTGCAGCGCGGCGATGTGGGCGGACAGCCTGCCCTCGCCCTCGCGGGTGTAGGCCAGGATGCGGGCGAGGTCCTGGGCTGGGAGGAGGAGGAGGAGGAGGAGGAGGAAGAGGAGGAGGAGGAGGAGGAGCAGCAGCAGGAGGAGGAAGGGCCGCGGCTCCACGGACATCTCCCAGGCTGCGTTCTGACCACAAATTAGAGGCGAATCCAGTGGTGGCGACCAGGGCCTCCCGGGAGGCCGAAAAACGTGGAAAAAACTGGAACAGGACAGCAGTACCCATCGGTCGGAAGAAGCAGGTAGAAACGAACCAGGAAGGCGTTGAAAATAGATTGGGTTCTGTCCGCCCCCTTGGGCGGACGGAAAAGGTGAAGACACTCGACCATTGAAGTAGGGAGGCGCTGAAAGTAGATGAGAAAATATGGGAGTCCTAAAATACCTACTTTCAACGACCTTGGCCTGTGCCCCCCCCGTCCAGTCCCCTGCTTCTGCTCCGCCCCTCTCCCTCCGCTGCTCCCTCCCCTCGCCTCTTCCACCTGGCTCTACCTCGCTCCTCTCGGCTCTGGCGGCGTTCACGGCGGCGTCGCCCTTCAGGCTATCGAGCGAGGTCGGGAATCCGGAAGGACTAGCTTCCGAGTGTGGCCATCACGACCGGAGTAGAGCTCTGTGGCAGGAACTGCGTCGACAACACCCTGGCGGCGACCAAAACTCGCAGCTTACGCGGCCCCATGCATGCTCACGGCCCCGTACGTAGACGCTGCAGGGAGGTCGGCATAGCATAGCCCAGGTGGGACGAGGAAAAAGATGTCATGTTAGGATTGGCTCAGGATACGTTCCAAGGTCTGTAGAGTATCTGGCAGCCCTCTGTTCTGCAGCCCGTGTGGAATGTTGGGAGATCTTGGAAATCCTGGAAACCTTGGAAATCTAAAGATGTGTCATTATCATGACCTCATGCTCCTCTGACTAGATTCAGCCACGAAAAACACGAGGCAACAGTGCCACCTCCACAGCAGCGACCCCACCCCCACACCGCTGGCCACCATCGCACGTCCCCCCTTCCAACCCAGCTGCGGAACATGCACGGAACATACATAGCAGACCCTACCGCGATGCCGCACTCGCCCATTCCACGGTCTCGATCGACGACTGGGCCGACCTGCGTACCGCCACGGAGAGTTGCCTCGAGGCCATCGTTCGCCTTGTCATGCACGCCCCTGGCGAGGACTCCCCCGACGACCCTGCGCGCCGGAGGGGCCCGACCCTCGAGGCCTGGGACAAGCTTGTGGCTCTGACGGCCGCGCCCTGCGAGCCTCCCGCTGACGCCTGCCCCCCCCCTTGCTGCCCGACGCCCCCCCTTGGCGACACCAGGCGCCTGCCGGGTGTGCCTGGCCCTCGAAAGCGCCGGCGCGCTGCCACGGCCCCCGCTGGCCCGCGGCCCCAGCCGGACCGCGCCCGGTGCGCCTGCCCCCATCGCTCCCCGGCGGCCCCACCGCGCCCGCGGAGCGGCGCGGGCCGCCTCTCCCGCTTGGGAGCATGGGCTCCAGGTCCGGCGACCGCGAACCTCCTGCGGCTGCAGCACCGCCCCGGGGCGGGCCCGGCCTCGGCGCTGGCGCAGCCCCCATTGGCAGCGCTCGCGGCCTGTTTCAGTTTTTGGCGTCTGCATTGCATCTGGGACGTGAATCGCACCTGGGACTGCAGATCGCATCTTGCTGGTTTCAGCTGCAATCAGCTTGATCACCGGCTGTTTTCGTTAGCGTAGCCCGGTGGCGGGTTCGCTGTCTCCGTTGTTTCTTGACTTGATTGCCTCTGATCGGAGTTGAGCGAAGGTAGGTGACGCGTACATATTCTATTGTGCTTGGGTGGTTGTCTTTTCGTTTCGCCCCCACATACCAATGGTAGCCGCAGCGCTGGCTGCGATGGTTGTTCCCACACACGCGCCTGTCCACCACCCATGGATTTGCCCGCGCTGTCCACCACACATGTGCGCCACCGCGTCAAGCAGATGCTGCGCGCGGTCGCCCGATTTCAGCTCTGTTGTGTGTCCAGGCTATGTCTGCTTCGGACGCGCGCATTTCATCACGCCTCTTGCACTTGCGCGGCGCTTTGTCGTGTCTGTTGCAAGCCTGGCGGCGTCGCCTTGTCGCGCTGCTGCGCGCTTCGCGTGGCCGCCAACAATCCTTTCCCGCCTACCTGGCTAATCCCCCCAGCCCCCTGGGCGCAGGTGGTCTAACGATGTCTTTCTTTCCTCTTCCAAAAACCCTTTTTCTTCCCCTTCGGGGAGGGGGTTATCACTGTTCCCTATTACTATACCCCCCTCCCCCAGGCGACCAGCAGCCAACCAGGAACCATGCGCACCACCCACACCATCCATGTCAAAAACAATCCAAAAACGCACTATGCCTCCAAAGTCGGAGCATGCGCAACCCACCCGAGGCGGGCCCCCCCACCGCCCCTGTCAGCGAAACCACTCCAAATACACCCTGGGGCAAAGCCCGGAGTCGTGTTCGCGAGCACCGCGAGCACTTTGGATTGCCTTGCGACAGGGACGGCGGGGGTGTCCGCAGATTGCCTGCTGTGCGCAGGGCTACCACCCCTGACAAAACACACTACAAAATGCACCTCGCGGCTACACATGGATCATGCGCAGCCACCCCGCGATCATTGACAAGTCGTGTTTGACAGGGACGGCGGGGGTGCTGGCGTATGGCCTGCTGTGAGTAGGCCCACCAGGCACAATGATGGGCATTGGCTTTCGACAAGGATGGTGGGGGCCGACATGTTTCCCGATGTGTGCTGTCACTTGCGCAGGCGCACCTCACAAACTCTGCACATGCCCCAAACGTGGCGCTCCTGGCGCGGCTGGAGTATGCCGCACCCCTGGCGCACGCGGAGGCACGTCGCGCATCTGACGCACCAGGCGAGCCTGGCACTCTCGGGCCCCAAGGGTGCCAGGCGCGCGCGCACCTCGCCCCAGAGTCGCGCACATGGGCTCGGTGTTGGTTCCCAGTAGCTGTCCATCCGAAGACGACCGCTGAACGTGCTGAGGCTCGGGTGTTACTTATGTGTTGGGAGGGCGGGTGGGAGTGAGCTAGACGGCTTGCTATCTGGAGGGCCAGGCTCGGGTGCTACGTATGTGTTGGGAGGGCGGGTGGGAGTGAGCGAGACGGCTTGCGGGCGGGGAGGGCGTCTTGACCCCTCCCCCTACCCCCTCCCCTGGACCTGGACGGGGAGGTTCGCGAGGTGTCAAGGCGTCCAAGATAGCCTGAGATAGCTCCAAGCGGGCCTCAGAGAGCCCAAGATGGCCTCCAAGCTCGCTCAAGATAGCCCTACATGGCTCAAGATAGCTAACAACATGACTCCAAGAGGCCCCAAGAGGGCGACAAGACGGTTCCACATGCTTTTGGATACCCCTGAGGACCTCCCGGGGAAGCCGAAATCCGTCAAAAACCTAATCAAAGTCAATCAATTGTGGCGTCCGATGCGTTTTTGAGGCGTCAAGGTGGCCCCCAGATGGTCGAAAAGAGTTCCAAGAGA